TGTGTTGCACACCAGGCTGACTGCCAATCTTCTATGGCTAGTCTACAACTTCAGTGCTCTCTACAGGGTTCTACTGCCCTGAACATCACTCAAATCTGGACTGTTCCACCAAAATAGGAAAGCTTTGGAAGCTGTATGGGATTTGTGCACAAGTCTACTTGTTTGTCTTTTCATCATATGCAGCCCTTCATTCATAAAATAAAGTGATAATGCAGTGGAGCAGAGCTGTGATATACCCACAATACGGGGATACGACAGGTCAGTGTTACACTTTATCAGCGTCTGTGGAGGGGACAGGCATTAAACATAGAAACATAGAATGTGACGGCAGATAAGAACCATTCGGCCCATCTAGTCTGCCCAATTTTCTAAATACTTTCATTAGTCCCTGGCCTTATCTTATAGTTAGGACAGCCTTATGCCTATCCCACGCATGCTTAAACTCCTTTACTGTGTTAACCTCTACCACTTCAGCTGGAAGGCTATTCCATGCATCCACTACTACCCTCTCAGTAAAGTAATACTTCCTGATATTATTTTTAAACCTTTGTCCCTCTAATTTAAGACTATGTCCTCTTGTTGTGGTAGTTTTTCTTCTTTTTAAATATAGTCTCCTTCTTTACTGTGTTGATTCCCTTTATATATTTAAATGTTTCTATCATATCCCCCCTGTCTCGTCTTTCCTCCAAGCTATACATGTTAAGATCCTTTAACCTTTCCTGGTAAGTTTTACCCCGCAATCCATGAACAGTTTAGTAGCCCTTCTCTGAACCCTCTCTAAGGTATCAATATCCTTCTGAAGATACGGTCTCCAGTACTGTGTACAATACTCCAAGTGAGGTCTCACCAGTGTTCTGTACAATGGCATGAGCACTTCCCTCTTTCTACTGCTAATACCTCTCCATATACAACCAAGCATTCTGCTAGCATTTCCTGCTGCTCTATTACATTGTCTGCCTACCTTTAAGTCATCAGAAATAATCACCCCTAAATGCCTTTCCTCAGAGATTACGGCATTAGGTGCTCTGGAGAGTCCAATTTTGTCAAGCCACTCGAAAACAGTTTAACAAAAAAACTAGAGCATGGTACTCAAGAATCTGGCTGTGGTGTAATCAGAATTCCACCAGGTTAAGCAACAAACAATATTTATTAAACAAACAAAAAAAGGGATACATTATTACAATATAAAATAAATACAATCTTTTTTAGTTTTGCCACTATGAAATTCTTCAGGTCTCTGCTACAATTCCTTAAATAACCATAACAGTGTTAATCACTGAAGGGAAAATTGTCGGGAATTCAAAGTGAGGCCAAAATAGTCAAACTGGAAGCAGAGCTGACTTGGAGATTTTTTTCATTTGAACTATTCTGGCTTAAATTTTAAATTCACTTTAAAGTTCTGATAAGTCTCACTTTAGTGAATAACGCTGCATAGTGTTCCCATTTGAACTACATATTAAAGGAACACAAATGTGTATTCCTGATCCTATAGTGTTAAAACCACCATCTAGTCCCTCTGCCCCCCATTACCCCTTTAATATAGTATCTTACAGTATCTTTTATTGCAGTCGGCTGCTGCCTCTGATCTGCCTCCTTGGCTGACATTAACAGAAGGGATTCACTGAGCCAATCACAATGCTTTTACATTGGATTGGCTGAGACTGTCAAGGAGGCAGATCAGGGGCAGAGCCAGCATAAGCAAAACACAGCCCTGGACAATCAGCATTTCCTCAAAGAGCTGCATTAAATCAAAGCATCTCTATGAGGAAAGTTCGGTGTTGTCAAGGTATAAAAAATAATCATTTGCAATAACTCATTGCCCTGTCGTGGTTCTAGCTTGGCTGGTCACTCAGTGCTCTTTGTTCCTTGTGATTATTTGGTTTTGACTTGGCTTTCTATCATCATTCTTGCTACCTTCTCCTACCCTTAGACCCGGCTTGTCTCTCGCTTACCTGTCCTCCAGTTCCCTCGACCTCGGCTTGTCTTTTGACCATTCTTTGTCTCCTCTACACGTTAGTCCGGCCATTCTAAGGTCCGGTATATGTATCTTGTCCTGTCTGCATTCTGTGTGTTGGATCCCTGTCACAATCCTGACAGTAGTGAATAACGAGGTTTATTCACTAAAGTGAAAATTGTCAGGAATTCAAAGTGAATTTCAAATTTTGGCCCCAAAATAGCCCCAATTGAAAGACTATTTTGGCCTTAAATTTGAAATTCACTTTAAATTCTTGACAATTTTCATTTTACAGACTAACCATGTGCATGTTTCTCTTTGTTTAAGAAAGTTGCATGCTAAGTCTTTGTAAGCCCTGTTTTTTCCTTTTCTTGTAAATAGCCTGGTAAAACCAATAAACTAATGTTGTACTATGCACACCTTCCACATTTATTTATTTATGCCAAGTGATGCCAATTATGTTGAGCAATTATGTTGGCTCAAGGTCGTGTGAGTAACATTTTTTCTTTTACCCACATACTAGGACAGAGAGACCCTGTCAGTGTGTGCTTTCTCTATAGTGTTTCAGCACATAAGGTATTTCTATCACACAATGAACACACATTATGTATAATAGAGAGTATAATCTACCTTTTAATGAAAGAGACTCTTGTTGGCAGGTGTTTGAAGTTGCCATGGTAACCTTTATTCTTTGGTCATCTTATATGGGTTGATCGGATTGTTTCCTATTTCCCATGATAATATTCATACAGAATGCAAAATCAGACTCTCTGTGAAGTCTTCCCATCTCCCATTCCATTAAACATTAATTTCTTTGACTCCAGTTCAAGTCCATGTTTACCGGCATCGTAATGTAAATTCAGTTTAATTGGCGTGTTTAGAGGGAAAGGGTTAATGATGCGTCAATACAACAAATACTGTGAATTAGACGTACATATCCCCACCATCTAATAAGCCACCTGTCATTTCTATTGTTAACAAAGCTGCCAACATAATTGACTAGTGGTATACAAAGTAGATTATTATTTTACAACCTCACTTCCAAATTAGGACCTTACTGACCTGAAAATGGAGCTCCAATCTCCCCTCCCTCCTTCATTGAAAGT